TTTGAAGGAAAGCAAAGTTGTTACACAATACACATTGCGTGGTAGAATTGAAAATCCCCATTTATTTACCCCTTTAAAAGCGTCGATTTGGAAATAACTGACGCGTGAAACTAAAAATGCAATTTTATTCGTCCATTCAAAGCGCGAGTAACAATAACTACCTATGATTCACAAATAAAACCCCTTTCGACCGGGGGATTGTCCAATCAATACCGACGTGACACCGCTACTACGATTTCTAATTATAACAAATGCATTTTCGAGGCTTGCCGGTGCCATATCGATCCTGTACCGCAACGTTGTCCCGGTGTCTCCATTTTATAGTAAAAATTGATGTAACGAGAGATAGGGGGATGCTACCCCCAAAACCGTTTTCAACGCTTACAAGCTGCTATAGTGTAAATCAATATTGAAATCTACGGTTTGGGAGACGAAAAAATTGTGTAGCGGGGTTCCATTCGGTTTTAACAAACGCCGAGAGCGAGACTCATTAAAAACTGTATTTGCAACGAACGAATTATGGACACTGGCTCATTATGTTCGTTTGTATTGCGGAAACGGAGATTTTTTTCAATTTATAGGGTCGTGAACCTGTTCGCTAAAACAGTATTTCCCTATGTCTACTTTTGAATGACAAAACCTCCTCTGAAAGGCGCCTAATTTTATGCCACCAAAATAAATTAAAACAAATAAAGTCCTGGCTCTCATATTAACTAATTTGAGTATTGTTGCTTTGGCAGAAAGGTATGAATGAATTCTTAAACTTTTGCTGAAACAGTGAAATTTTAAGAGGAGCACAAAATTAATCAATAAACGTGTGGAATGTACTAATGCAAAATCAAATTAGGCGCCCTTCAGAAAAAGTGTTGTCTTTTAATAGTAGACTTAGGGGAGAACAATACAAGTAAATCCCTATGTCTACTTCTTAATAAATATCACTGTATGTATATAAAACTCTTCAGTTACTGTCAAGCAAAGCACAGCTAAAACTACTGGGAGCGCAGAAAACTGAAATTTGACATTTAGTTCCTTGGGGATTGTAGGAGAGCACTAAGAGATTTCCTACGGGAGCGGTAACGGGATTTTACGTTTTGAAGTCGAAACTGTGCAAGATAGAGACTTGTCAGTTACAAGGCAAGTTTCTTTGAAAACGCTAAGGTGTACTCACAAAGCATTTCCCGAAATTCCCACGGGAACGGGGAAAGACAAGATCATGAAAATCAGGGGAAGATCTTTTCCCATCACCGTGAGAATATTCTGTAACAGGAGAATATATGTGCGAGAAGGTGTTCCTGCTCCTGATACGCAGAGAATCAGTTAACAACCTGTCGAAAAATTTTTCTGTGTACCAGGAGAGCATGATCGACGAGGTCTTCTTTAGTAACCATTATTAAACTATGTACCAGAAGAATATAGTGCGCGAAGAGGTGTTTTTCGCACGAAGTACCGGGTAACAAATTGTCTATTAGGGGAATATGCTGGACGAGCATCCTTTTTTTAAAACCATGTTTCTACTTCTGATCGGAGTATCAGTTAAGAACGTAGTGTCAATTTTTTCTGGCTACCAGGAGAACATGATAGACGAGCAATATTTCAACACCTTTCATTAGATTAAACTGTTATATCAGGAGAGTACAATGTGTAAATGTTTTTTTTTCTATGAGAAACACCCTACATTGGGTTAAGTTTTATAAATCATGTGCCAGGAGAGTATGCAAGGAGGTGATTTTGCGCCTGGTACGCGGAGTATGATTATTAGCAAACTCGAGTAAAATGTCTGTGAAGAGAACTTTAGATAAAAAGGTTTTCTTTTGTAATCACCCTACCGTATATTAGTTTATTTTCAAACCTTGTAGTTGTAGGAGAAAGTAATGTGCGAGGAGGTGTGTCTGATCTTAATACACCAGTGTATGTTAGTATATGCTTGTAAAAGACCTCCTTGTCTACCAGGAGAGCATGATAATGAGAAATATTTCCATTTAGCTTGTATCAGGAATACATAATGCGAGTGGAGGTATTTTTGCTCCTAGTATATGTTAGGGCACGCGAATAAAATTTTTCTGGTTATCAGGATAGTATGATAGATAAGGAGTTTATTCTCTATTACTATGAGAAATGTTTCAGCACCCTTTCTTAGCTCCATTCTTACATATCCTGTATCAGGAGAACATAATTCAAGAGTAACTGGTTCTGATCCTAATACACTGGGCATAACTCATCAAACGCTTATAAAATTTCATTGGCTAGCAGTACATGACGGCCGAGCATGCTTTTTTCCATTACCATGAAATTTCTTCCAAACCTCTTCAAAATCTCTTCCAAATCTCTCCAAATCTCTTCAAAATTCAAAAGATTCTGTGGCTATCAGGAGAGCCAGGCGATATTGTATCAGGTGAATATGTCATCGAGGAGCGGTTTTGGCTTCTGATGCATGGTCTGTCAGTTAGCAAGCTATTAGAAAATTTCTCTGTGCACCAGGAGAACATGCCGGGCAGCTTCCCTCGACTGTCCGTATCAGGAGACTGTAATGCGTGAGGAGGTGTTTATGAACCTAATACACGGAGTATCAGTTAGCAAATAATTGTATTCTCTAGCTACTAGGAGAACATGAATGACGATGAGGTCTCTTTCCGTTACCATACGAAGCATTCTAGCTCCCCCACAGTATCAGGAGAAAATACTGTGCAAGGAGGTGATTTTGCTCCTCATACAAGCAGTATATATCTAATAAGATGCCTTTGGCTATGAAGAGAACATGATGGATGAGGAGGTTTTTTTGTCCCTATCGTGTATTAATTTTTACAAACCCTGTATGAGGAGAATGCGGTGCGCGAGGAGGTGTATCTGATTAGGAAACGTTTTCAAAGACTTCCTCGTCTACCAGGAGCGCATGATAGAGAAGGAGGTCTTTGTCCATTACTAGGAGAAATATTTCAACCCTCTAATTTAGTTAAAATCTTGTATCACGAGTATACAATGGGCGAGAAGGTTTTCCTACACCGAGTAAATGTTAGCCAACGCTTATAAAATTCTTCTGGGTATCAGGAGAACACGATAGAGTCCATCGCCATGTGAAACATTCTAATTCTTTTGTCTATCAGTATAGCATGATAGATAAGAAGCTCTCTTTCCATTACCATGAGAAATATTTCAGCATCCTACCTTAGCTTCATTGCTACAAATCTCGTATCAGGAGAACATCATTCACGAGGAGCTGTTTCTGATCCAAATAAACGCTTGAAAAATTGCATTGCCTACCAGAAGAACATGATGGCCCAGGATGCTTTATACAATTACCATGAGAAATGGCTTAGATCTTTAGGAGAATATACAGTGTGAGGACGTGGAGTATCAACAAAAAAGCTCTGAGAAACTTTATTTTGCACCAGGAGAACGTGATTGACGAAGAGGTCTTCCGTCCCCATGAGAAGAAACTTCAGCACTTCACCTTAGCTTGAATATTAGTAGTATCAGTACCAGGATAGTATGATCGACGAGAGGGGAGGGGAGGGAGAGCATTACCATGAATGGCACTTCGATTCCCCCCTTTGGAATAAACTCTATATCGGGAGAACTTCTTGTCAGGAGAGTATAATGTGCGAACAGGTGTTTCTGATCCTGGAACAGAGAGTATCAATTACGAAACTTTTGTAAAATTTCTCTAGTTAACAGGAGAACATAATATTTTAACACGATATTTTCCTTTAAGCTTTTACGTATCACAGGATGTCACGTGCGAGAAGGTGTTTACTCCATTAATAAACTGGACTTTTAAAATGTCTCTGGTTACCAGGAGAACATAAGTTAGGAAACGCATGTAAAATTCTTCTGGCTGCTAGGAAAGCATAGTGGAGAAGGATGTCTTTTTCCGCCACCTCGAGAAACATTTTAACACGCTACTTTGCATACCTACCAGGAGAACATCAAGATCAAGGAAATCTTTTATCACCAAGAGAAATACTTCAACGCATGTATCATGAAAATACAATGTGCGAGGAGGTTCCCTGCTACCAAAACAACGCCTTTAAAGTTTCTTTAGCTATAAGGAGAACATGATGGTTGAGAAAGTCACCATCAGAAACACGTCGCTTTGGTCTAAACTTATGGAAACTTATCGGAAGAATGTAATGCGCGAAGGGGCGCTGTGCTCTTAATACACGCCCTTCTAAAAGGATAAGAAGGTAGGAGAATACGTTAAACGAGGAGGTCTTTTTATATCACCACGTGAAATAGTGTCTCAGGAGGACAGAGTGTGGGAAAATGTGCTTCTCCTAAAACACTGAATATCAGTGCCTCTCTGAATATTAGGAGAACATGATAGACGAGGAATTTTGTTTAATGGGATTTATAATGATGATGATTAATTTTTTTTGGTCTTTTAATTTCTATAGGACATTGTTTCTTAATAGGTTTCGGAAGCCACTCGAGTCCAGATCTCTGGGATTTATGTCACATTTTGTCTACTTAATTAGTAGGTTACAATTGCTAGCTCAAGAATTAGGTCACACTCCTCAGGAGGTCGGCAAGATAGTTGGCCCCACCTCTTTCTTCTGTGCTTTCATGAATTTAACGGACTTGGTTATTACACGTGGCATCAAAAAGGGATAGTGCTTGGTAAAAATAATAGTGGGAATTAGTTTTAGGGGAGATCTATTCGGGTTTTTACTAACGATGTAGTCTGAAAATCAAGTGGTTAATTAATTCGCGTCTTGATCGCAGGAGAGCCAATAGTATCGCGCGATTCCTGGTGGAATACGGAAAAGATTCGCGCTTGGAAAGTCGTTGGTACTAGTGCGGGACCCTTAAAAAAATTTAATTCGATTTTTGGAACGTAAAATATAACAACGCGAGTTCCGGTTAGCCATAGTGCGGATTATCGCGAAAATGAAAAGGACGTAATAGACAATTAGAGTTGAGTAGGGAGATAAAGCAACTGCTGCCTTTGGTCAAGGACAATTTAACTAGGCGCGCTAATATATTTTGCTAAGAACCATTGTTAAAACTGCTGTGTAAACGTTTCATTCCGTGACCCCGAAGAAGAGATTGAATTCTGGTTGTTCAAAGTCCTAAAATGATCCAGGATTATTGTATTATGATATTATTGGTCTTCCTCCTCCGTCTAGGGTTATACTAATATATGATCTTCTTTCGTAGGAGGTGCTACTGCCGTTGTACTCGTTAGGCGTATTGATTGTTATGAAAATTCTAATACCGAACCCCAACTTTCCCGTAATGGACACACCGAGAGGGGAGGCGAAGCTGTACGACCTGTTTAGCAATTTAACGAAGCACACAATTGCCGTTGTTCCTAACAGTACGCAAATTAGGGTAAGTGCCGGACGAGCTTGCTGGAGGAATGACCTCTATTCTAGGATTTTATTAACAACAACGTAAACGAGGTTTGGCAAATGCTGAACTTGGACTCGGAACTCTCGTGGTCGTACTATGCGACGAGGGAGGAGCTGCTGACCGCGTACTGGTTGGAACCCAAGGCTATTCCCATCGCGGTAATCTTCAACACGACAAATCCGTTGAGCGACGCCTTTAAGTAGAGTTGGCCCGGCTCTCGACCATGGCCACTAATTCAATCGCTTACAGATACGAGATTCGTACTAATCCGTCGCACTCGGAGACGCCGTCCACCACGATGCTCTACGGCTCGCCCGCATTGTGCAGGCAGTCGCACGGGCACTGGTCCGCCGTACTTTCGAAGGAGAACCGAGGCACGTGCCCAGTGAACGAGTACTACTTCTCGGGTTTCGTAGGCCTACAGGCGCTCCTCGACTTCACGAAGATAAGGGTGAGCCCCGAGCTCTTTGCGCGCCCCCCGAGTCACCCATCCGCTTTCAGAGTCGCACCGGACGAAACGACACAGTAGTCCCCCACCTCCTCCTCCAGATGTTCCCGAAGGAGGCCTTCACCGGCAACTGGATGGTGGCGTTTCGCGTAGTCATACCACTTTACATGGTAATGGCGCTCTCTCAGTTCGTCGCCTACCTCCTCATTCTAATCGTCGGCGAGAAGGAGAACAAGATCAAGGAGGGGATGAAGATCATGGGCCTCAAAGACTCGGTCTTTTGGTTGTCCTGGTTCGTCATCTACGGCATCTTCGTCCTTTTCCTGTCGGCGGTATGCTGCATACTCCTCTACGCGTTGAAGGTATTCCAAAACACGAACTTGCTCCTCATCTTCCTCCTCGTCCTGCTCTACTCGCTCTCGATAATAATGTTCGGCTTCATGATCACGCCGTTCTTCGACAAATCGCGCGTAAGTAGCACGACGGCCGTCGGGCGTAAGTAAGTCCTAACGTTTTAGACCGCCGGTATTTTGGGGAACTTTATGGTAAACATTTTAAGCCTATTTTACTTCATTCAAGTTTTTGTTGATCATTCCAGTTCGTTAGTTTTCTGGATTGTTTCGGTTATAAGCTCGACCGGTTTCGCTTTGGCGATGGATAAGGTAGGTGACGCGTCGGTGTCCACCCTTGTTTAGTTCCATTACAGGCCTTGGTAATGGACCTTTCCGGCGAAGGCGTCAACATTCACAATTTGTGGTCGGGGCCGGGTATGCCCTTCGGCGGCAGTCTGATAATGATGGCCTTTGATATTGTCTTGTACGGGTTTTTGGCTTTTTACCTCGACAGCGTGATACCGAGTAAGTTCCAGGTGATTTCCGGCTTCAGAGTCAACGTAGGTACTCGTTTCAGGTGAGCACGGAACGAAGAGGTCGCCGTTCTTCTGCTTCAAGCTATCCTATTGGTGCAGAAAGAGGGTGATCAGGGTAAGCTTGTACGGGCGAAAGCGTCTAATTGTTAAAAAAGGCAATTACAGGTTCCGTTAGCCAATGGGACTTCGGCTGGATCGCTGCTTAATGGCGACGACGCAAATTGTGACATTGAGCAAGTGTCGAGGGAGATGAAAGGTCGTGAGGCGATCAAAATTGTCGATCTATTCAAATCGTTCCAGGTAAGTCTTGTATTTGTATACGAGTTTTTTTTTGAGAATCATCTTTTTAAGGGCTTTAAACATTCCCTGGAACATTCCTGCCATTGTTCCCAAAATATTCCAAAAAAACATTTAATATTTCTCAAAGTGCCTAAAGGTCACAACATCATTTTCTAAGGTTCTTCTGTGAGTCTCCTGAAATTCTCAAGTATTCCTCATGGAAATTCTCAAAAAATCCTCCATATTACAAATGTTTCGAGGAATCTCGTGAAGGTTCTTGGGTATATCCACCCTTGATGTCTCAAAATATGTCTTAAGGGATGAAATACGCCCTTGAGGTTTCAAAATATTCACGATACACTTACACAAAAAAGGTTCAAACTTTTATGGCTTTTGTAGCATGTCTAAAGGGGTGAAATCCACCCTTTGTCTCAAAATATGTCTTACGGGATGGAATCCGCCCTTGGGGTCTCAAAATATTCACGATACACTCACACGAGAAAATTTCAAATTCTTATGGCCTTTGTAACATGTCTTAAGGGGTGAAATCCGCCCTTGAGTTCTAAAAAATTCATGAAATCCTTGCTCAAAAAAGTTTCACATTTTGTTGCCTTTTAAAAAAGCCTAAAGGGGTGAGATCCGCCCTTGAGACCTAAAAAAATTCATGAAACTCTCGCTCAGAAAAGTTTCAAATTTTTTTGCCTATTAAAAAAGACTAAAGGAGTGAAATATCCGCCCTTGAGGCTTAAAAAATTCATGATACACTTGCACAAAGAGTTTCACATACTAATAGGTTTTGTAACATGTCTAAAAGGGGGAAATCCGCCCTTGAGATCTCAAAATATTCACGATACACTCACACGAAAAAGTTTCAAATTCTAATGACCCCTGCGGCATGTCGTATGGAGTGAAATCCACCCTTGAGGTTTTAAAATATACCTTAAGGGATGGAATCCGCCCTTGGGGTTTCAAAATATGCCCTTCACAAGAAGGTTTCGAATTCTAATGCCCTTTAAAAATACGTAAAAGGGTGAAATCCGTCCTTGAAATCTGAAAATGTTCATAAAACAATTGCACAAAGAGTTTCAAACTCTAATGGCTTTTATAACACGTCTAAAGGGGTGAAATCCACCCTTGAGCACTAAAACCATTCACAAAACACTTGCGCAAAGAGTTTCAAATTCAAATGGGTTTTGTAACATGTCTAAAGGGGCGAAATCTGCCCTTGATGTCAAGAAAATTTCATGAAACTCTTGCACAAAACGGTTTCGAATTCTAATGGCTCTTATAACATGTTTAAAGGGGTGAAATCCACTCTTGAGGTATCAAAATATGTCTTAAGGGATGGAATCCCCCCATGGGGTCTCAAAATATGCACGATACACTTACACAAAAAAGTTTCAAATTCTTATGGCTTTTGGAACACGTCCTAAGGGGTGAAATCCGCCATTGAGTTCTGAAAAAAATTCATGAAACCTTTGCCCAAAAAAGTTTCAAATGTTGTTGCCTTTAAAAAAGCCTAAAGGGGTGAAATATCCGCCCTTGAGGCCTAAAAAATTTATGATACACTTGCACAAAGAGTTTCACATACTAATGGGTTTTGTAACATGTTTAAAGGGGTGAAATCCGCCCTTGAGGTCTCAAAATATTCACGATACACTCACACCAAAAAGTTTCAAATTCTAATGACTTTTGTAACATGTTTTAAAGAGTGAAATCCACCCTTGAGGTCTCAAAATGTTATGAAACAATTGCACAAAGAGTTTCAAATTCTAACGGCTTTTCTAACATGCCTAAAGGGGTGAAATCCACCGTCTTAAAATATTCATGAAACCCTTGCTCAAAAATGTTTCAAATTCTGTTGCCCTTTAAAAAAGGTCTGAAGAGGCGAGATCTGCCTCTGTGGTCTAAAAATATTCATGAAACATTTACTCAAAAAGGTTTCTAATTCTGTTTCCTATTAAAAAACGTCTAAAGGGGTGAAATACGTCCTTGAGGTATAAAAAGTGAATGTACAACTTGCGCAGAAAGGTTTCTAATTCTAACGCCCTTTAAATACATTTAAAGGGGTGAAATCAGCCCTTGAGATCTAAAAAAATGTATGGTACACTTGCACAAAAGGTTTCAAATTCTAACGGTTTTTGTAACATGTATAAATGGGTGAAATGCGCCCTTGGGGTCTCAAAATGTTCATGAAAGATTTGCACAAAGAGTTTCAAATTCTAATGGCTTTTGTAACACACCTTAAGGGGTGAAATCACCTCTTGAGGTCTAAAATATTCATAAAACTCTTGTACAAAAAGTTTCAAATTCTAATGGCTCTTCTAACATCCCTAAAGTGGTGGAATCAGCCCTCTAGGTCTTAAAATATTCATGGAACCCTTGCTCAAAAAAGTCTCAAATTCTGTTACCTATTAAAAAACGTCTGGTGTGGCGAAATATGTCCTTGAGGTACCTATAAAAAGTTCATGTAAAACTTGCGCAAAAAGGTTTCAAATTCTAATGCCCTTTAAAAACATCTAAAGTGGTGAAATCAGCCCTTGAGGTTTAAAAAATTTCATGAAACATTTGCACAAGAAAGTTTCGAGTTCTAATACAACTTAAAAATATCTTAAGGGGTGAAATCAGCCCTCGAGGTCTCAAAATATTCATGAAATCCTTAGTCAAAACCTAGGTCAAAACAGTTTCAAATTCTGTTGCATTTTAAAAAAGGTCCGAAGGGGTGAGATCCGCCTTTAAGGTCTAAAAAAATGCATGAAACACTTGCACAAGAAAGTTTCGAGTTCTAATGTCCTTTAAAAATATCTTAAGGGATGAAATCAGCACTTGAGACCTAAAAATATCCATAAAACCCGTGTACAAAAAGTTTCAAATTCTAATGGCTCTTCTAATATGGCTAAAGGGGTGGAATCCGCCCTCGAGGTCTTAAAATATTCATGAAACCCTTGCTCAAAAAACTTTCAAATTCTGTTGACTCTTAAAAAAGGTCCGAAGGGGTGAGATCCTCCATAGAGGAAACACCTACACGAAAAAGTTTCGAATTGTAATGCCCTTTAAAAATATCTAAACGGGTGAAATCCGCCCTAGAGCTGCAAAAAAAATTCATGAAACACTTGCACAAAAAAGTTTCGAATTCTAATGTCCTTTAAAAATATCATAAGGGGTGAAATCAGCCCTTGGGATCTAAAAATATTCATAAAACTCTTGTACAAAAAGTTTCAAATTCTAATGGCTCTTCTAACATATGTCTAAAGGGGTGGAATCATGAAAGAAACCCTTGCTCAAAAAAGTTTCAAATTCCGTTGTCTATTAAAAAACGTCTAAAGGGGTGAAATACGTCCTTGATAAAACTTGTGCAGAAAGGTTTCAAATTCTAATGCCCTTTAAAAATATCTAATGGGGTAAAATCTACCCTTGAGGCCTAAAAAAATTCATGAAACCCTTGCACAAGAAAGTTTCGAATTCTAATGTCCTTTGAAAATATCTTAAGGGGTGAAATCAGCTCATGAGATCTAAAAATATTCATAAAACCCTTGTACAAAAAGTTTCAAACTCTAATGATTCTTCCAACATGCCTAAAGGGGTGGAATCCGCCACCGAGGTCTTAAAATATTCATGAAACCCTTGCACAAAAAAGTTTAGAATGCTACCTTTTAAAAATTTCCAAAGGGGCGAAATCCGCCCTCTTGAGATCTAAAAAAATTCATGAAACCCTTGCTCAAAAAATTTAAAATTCTGTTGTTTTTAAAAAATGTCTAAAGGGGTGAAATTCGACCTTGAGGTCTAAAAAATTTCAAGAAACGCTTTCGCATAAAGTTGCACATTGTGGTGTCTTTTAAAAACGTCTAAAGGGGCCAAATTCGCCCTTGAAGTATAAAAAGTACATGTAAAACTTCCCCAAAAAGCTTTAAAATTCTAGTGACTAAAAAAATCCGCCCTTGAGGTTTAAAAAAATGCACAAAACATTTGCAACAGATAGTTTCGAATGCTAATGTCTAAAAATATCTAAATGGGTCAAATCCGCTCTTAAGTTTTAAAAAAATTCATCAAACACCACCCATACGATAAGATAAGACCGAAAAGCTTCGGGTTCTATAACTTCAAAAAATGGCCTAAAAGGGTGAAAACAGCCCTTGAGTTCTAAACAAATGTATGAAACGCTTGCACATAAAAAGGGTAAAATGCACCTTTGACTCTAAAAATACGAAGGGTACTCATTTTTTGTCGAAATTGGTTTCTAGTCCATAACTTTTGATTGAGAAGTCTGATCGAAAA